GACTTTACTTCGCGAACTATGGCTACAACGGCTACCGGAAAACACACAAGCGATTCTCGCTACAGTGAGCTCTGTTCCGCTCACTCAACTAGCAGATTTAGCAGATCGAGTTATTGAACGATCACAGCCACAAGCCGACGCCAGCAAGATGAATGCCGTCGCGTCCCAGGGCACTTCTATCACTGGCTTACAGTCAACTATAGAAGCCCTGCAAACACAAGTCGCGACACTTAGTCGCCAGGTCCAGCAGCTTACTATGGACCGTCGTCGTCCTAGCCGATCAAAATCGCCCTGCAAACGTTCTAAGTCTAACAACAGGCAGGCTTGCTGTTGGTACCATCAGCGTTTTGGTACCGCAGCTCGTAAATGTGTCAAGCCTTGCAACTTCGACGAGAAGCAGGGAAACCTCGGCCGATCCGTAACGGCGACGAACGCGACTGGCCAACACCAAAGTCGCCTCATCCGCGTCAGGGATTTAACTTCTGGCACCGACTTTCTAGTCGACACTGGTGCCGAAGTTAGTGTTATACCCCGTAGCTCAGATGAGGTCGTCTCACCATCGCCGACCAAGCTGCGTGCCGCCAATGGCACACCAATCGCAACTTTCGGCGAAAAGCTGCTAACACTCAATTTAGGCCTCCGGCGAACCTTTCGCTGGCCTTTCATAATCGCTGCTGTGCCTTTCGCCATCATAGGCATAGACTTTCTTCAACGCTTCGATCTCATCGTCGACGCTAAACGGAAGAAGCTTATTGACTCTAGGACACAGCTCAGTGTTATCGGGACCAGCGCCAACGTGGCTGCTATCACTCCCATTCGTGTCCTACCTCAAGCTTCACAACCTTTTCTAGAACTTTTCAGCAAGCACCCTAAACTCGTTCGCGTCCTGAACGACTTGCCTCCTGTGACGTCAAACGTCATGCATTACATTTGCACTAAGGGCCCACCTGTTTCGGCCCGCCCTCGCCGACTAGCCCCGGACAAGCTCAAAGCTGCTAAGGCGGAATTCGAGCAAATGCTCGAACTGGGAATCATCCGCCCGTCCAAAAGTCCATGGGCATCACCATTACACATGGTGCCGAAGAAATCCGGTGACTGGCGCCCTTGTGGTGACTACAGGGCACTTAACAAAGTTACCGTCCCGGATAAATACCCTATCCCGCACATGCACGACTTGACCTCAGCTCTAGCTGGCAAGTCTATCTTCAGCAAAGTCGACTTAGTTCGTGCCTACCACCAGATACCTGTCGCGCCAGATGACATTGCTAAAACAGCAGTCATCACGCCATTTGGCCTATTCGAGTACCTCAGAATGCCTTTCGGCCTCAGCAACGCTGCCCAAACTTTTCAGCGTTTCATTCATGAGGTAACGCGAGGACTCGAAGGCGTTTATCCTTATCTAGATGACATTCTTATCGCCAGCTCTTCTGATGAAGAACATCTTCATCACCTCGACGCTCTCTTCCAACGCTTAACCCAGCATGGGGTTACCGTCAACCCCGATAAATGCGAGCTTGGCCAAAGTTCCATCGACTTTCTTGGCCACCGCATATCCGCCTCTGGTATCGAAGCTCTGCCAGACAAAATCCAGGCACTGAAGGACTATCCTGCTCCCAGTTCCTTCAAGCAGTTACGCCGATTCCTTGGCCTGGTCAACTATTATAGACGCTTTATACCTAACTGCGCGAGCATTGTCCAACCAATGACTGACTTGCTCCGCGGTAAACAACGGTCTTTTCACTTTACAGACGACGCTAAATTGTCTTTCGAGAAGCTCAAAGACGCTATCTCCAACATAGCGCTTCTCGCCCATCCAGACACGTCTGCATCACTCTCTCTGACAACTGACGCATCAGACACTGCCGTCGGTGCAGTTCTTCAACAACTCATCGACCATCGATGGATACCTCTAGGTTTCTTCTCGAAACGCTTACAACCTGCCGAATCGCGTTACAGCACCTTCGGTAGGGAACTGTTAGCTATCTACCTAGGTATCCGACATTTCCGTCACTACCTCGAAGGTCGACATTTCACCGTCTTCACCGACCACAAGCCATTGATCTACGCAATCAATGGCGCAACAGACAAGTACTCGCCGCGGGAAAATAGACACCTAGACTACGTTTCTCAGTTTACGACAGACGTACGTCATGTCTCAGGTGCTCTCAATCCCGTCGCGGATGCGCTTTCACGCATTCAGCAGATCAGCTTATCGCCTGGCACCAACATTGATCTAGCCGCTATGGCTGCTGCCCAAAAAGCTGATCCCGACACAGACAAACTACGACGCAACACCTCGTTAAAACTACGTGAAGTCCCACTAGCTTCATCTGAGGGGACCATTCTTTGTGACGTCTCACAAACTTCTCCCCGACCCGTAGTTCCTACCTCAATGCGTCGACTAGTTTTCAATGCTTTACACAACCTGTCTCATCCCGGCATACGTGCTTCGCAGAAGCTCGTAACGGAACGCTTCATATGGCCCAACGTCAATCGCGATGTCCGCCTTTGGGCACGCGCATGCTTAGAGTGTCAGCGCGCCAAGGTCTACAGACACACCAAAAGCCCACTTGGCGTCTTTCCCGCTCCTGACGCTCGTTTTGCACACGTCCATGTCGACCTGGTCGGACCTTTGCCTCCATGCAAAGGCTACGTGTACCTACTCACCTGTGTCGACCGATTCACTCGTTGGCCAGAGGCGATTCCGTTAGTCAACTGCTCATCTGAGACAGTTGCGCAAGCTTTCTTAGAACGCTGGGTAGCTCAATTCGGTTGCCCAAGCGTAGTCATCACTGACAGAGGATCACACTTCGACGGATCCTTCAGCAAACTGCTCAACGTTCTTGGTTGCCAACATAACCGAACCACCGCATACCATCCCGCAGCTAATGGGATGGTAGAAAGGTTCCACCGGCAACTCAAAGCCTCACTCTGTGCCCAATCTAGCACATCCTGGCACGAAGCACTTCCGCTCGTTCTCTTAGGCATAAGAAACACGATTAAAGCGGACTTGCACGCCACTCCATCGTCGCTAGTCTTTGGATGCACACAACGCTTACCTGGTGAACTCGTCTCACCAAAAGCGCCAACAACTTTCGACTATGGCGACTACGCAGCTCGCCTATCTCATCACATGCGACAGCTTCAGCCTGTGCAACCCAGAGCACAGAGCTTGCGTACAAACGTGGACGAACGGTTAACTACTTGCACGCACGTGTTCGTTCGCACTGACAGCGTACGCCGACCACTTCAGCCTCCTTACTCTGGTCCGTACCGTGTCGTACGCAGAAGCGACAAAACGTTTACCATTGACTACAATGGTAAGACTGAGACGGTCAACGTCGATCGACTCAAGCCAGCATACCTTGACAAGTCTGACTCGCCGGTGCAACAAGCACCTTCACAGCCCGTGCCATCACAGCCGGCACCGCAACCTCAGACGAGTCAGCCCGCTCCAGCAGAACCGACAAACACAACCGACAGCACTCCTACCCGCCCTACTCTCAATCGACGCGGTAGGAAACTCAAGCCTCCAGTTCGTTTTTCAGACTTTGTTAGCACTTATTATTTTACGTAGAACGTGCCTTTAAAATTTTCTGCTCTTACTAAACGTTTTTGAAAATCCACAAAAAAGACCAAAACGTTTTGAAATTACCAAAAAAGAGCAAAATCTTTTGAAAACCCAAAAACAGCTTTGCACGTTTTTCGCTTTACACTCTTTTGTGTATGGCTATGCACTTACGCTGCTTTTTCATTTTGCTTTCCATATACACCGTCGGTTGGTTGCACCTCGGTTTCACTTTCGCTGGATCCCCGCACGTCAACTGCAAGTGGAACGAACTTCCTGCTCAACTGCCTACGTGAACTTTATTAACTGTCCCCCCCCTACAAACAGTTTTTTTACCGTTTCGACACCGTAGGGAGGACACGGGTGGGAGCCCGCTAGGGTCCGATTGCATGGTTCTCCCCCAGCAGCTGCATCGGGTTTCACAACCTGGTCTCGCAGAAGGCTGGCCCGCGACGGACAGTCCTCACGTAGATCGAAGGACTGCTTACACAGTCCCTTCTGGGAGAGGGCTATGTAGCAGTCTGGAGATTCCCCGGTTTGCTTGTGTAAAATTCTAACCAAAATTCTATAATTGTACACTTAGGCAACCGGTGTGGTTTGTTGAACTGCTTGCTGAGTTCGAATGCTTTACTTGCTCACCGCCATTTTTGCTTGGCGCTCGCTTCGGTTGCAACGCGCGACTGCTCTGTGTGCTGTGTTTGCTCCGTTTCCCTAGCTAGAGCGTACACGGTGTCGTTCGTTTATAGCTAGCTAACAGGGAATCTTTTGCTGAACCAATAAAAGTTTCCCTGCAACTCGATCTGTCTTCTGGAATCGCTCTCTGGGCTCCCGGAATAGGCAACCCTCTAAACTAGTATCAAAGCAGTATCCCACATTTGTAACTTTAGCTTTAGCTAATTCCTTTTATTAAATTTTAGTATGCATTGATATTTTTGTTACGGAACGGACATTCCTCCGATTGTATTTTTGACTTAAATCGTACAATATTGTCTGCTTCAGTTACCGAGCCTTACCGGGACTATTGCGCAGCAAATGTGGGCAACAACTGGTTAGTCATCATATCATAAAGTTTACGTTTTGGACTATTAACCCACAAATTAATTCAGCAATTTCTGTCTAGCGATACAATGGAACATCTGCATGGTTGATTTATTGTTGCTGCTGCAACTGAGATTTAATTTGTACGGGCACTTAAAAAGTCACATGTCTATATTTACAGCCCAAAAATGAGCGCGAAGCTTTGCAAACGCGACGTATCAGTTGTTTATCAAATATCAGATACAATAATAAAAGTATAATGTCAGATACCGACAACAAGTGGTAAACCGCGCTGATAAATTCAATTCAGTTTGCTTCCATACGATAAGTAACAGAAGATTGAAGTGTTATTGGCGTTAAAAAATGATGAATATCATAGTAAGTAACAGCTTACCCGCAGCAACAAATTTCACAAATACATTTTAGCCCAGGATGCGACATGCAATTTTGAGACGCGGAATCACATTAACAAATCATAAATTGACGTCATAATGTACGATTCAAACAAGGTTAGCAACTAACTAGGAAAATTAGTTTGAACAGTAAAGGTATAACAATGATAGTGATTGGTTTTGGCTAACAGTAGGTTGCACACATCTTAACTCAAGTGGGGCCCTTTAAATGTGCCTGTGCTATTTGATTCATTTTTGCAATTGTGCAACAAATAGTTTTCATTGTTTTTTTAACTTTAAGAGGTTTGTTTATAATTTTACCATTTTCTTTTATGCAAGTCTGCTGTCACGATGTTCTGAGACCTCTGTGCGCTTCTACGCCCTTAAATATTGCAACTTTCAACTACCGCTTTATAAAACCAACAAGCTGGAAAAATTTTCTTAAGAATTGTAAGCACTCTGTAAGCAAGCATCATACTGGATTAAGGGTTGAACGTCGAAACAACAAGCCGGGTGTGCCGTCTGTGCATTTATTGCTACGGTCAACATTTGATCGTCCTATGGAAAATTATTTGGACTAACGTCATCCGCCGTTTCCAAAGAATGTTTGCCGCTAATCAGCAACCTGGTTCAAGGAAACGATGAGGTCGATGATACTGATTTACCCAGTGGATCATTTAATTGCCATCGAACTGACTGCTTATGCACGCATCGAAACAGTCGTGGTGGAGTCCTTTCACTAATCCACCGGTGCCCCGCGTTTGCCATTTTCCGCGATCCATTGGATACGGTGGTTTGCCAAACAATAATAAAATGGACCCGGTTAGGAATAATCGGAATAGTAATAGACTTTAATCAGACACAGAGCTTGCTTCAAAGCAGAAGTAATAGCGCGCAGCGAGCGCACGTGACATTGGCAGACCGAGGCCCCGACATCTGCGTATTGCTTAGCAGCGGGTTAGGTTAAGTAGCTATGCTAGGTCAAATGGCGGGGTTGGCGTGAGCCAACCGGGTGCCCTATATTGGATATACATGTTAACAATGTTACTTTTTGTTTGGTAAAAATTGATTGCAATACCCTTGTTAGTAGTTGAAGCAGACCACATCAGGATTCGAGCTCACTTGGCACCACATTTGCAAAGAACATCGTGGTGGAGGAATCCGAAAAATTGCGTCTGGTGCTGGGCAATCATTACCCGAAATTTGCTGAGATTGAGGCTGATGTGAAGAAGTTTCAATTTGCAACTACCACATTTCTTTACAAACATTAGGAACGCCAAACAGTAGCTATAAATCCAACTAGTGTTTAAAACATTCCTCCTACTGCGCGCCAACGACAAAGACGGCTAGATTATTCCACTTGTTTAGTACTTGGTAAGAGAGCATGCCATCACGACGGATCCGAAGTATCCCTTGTTTTAACAATTTCCAATGTTGATCCCGAGTCGAACTGAAGGAATTGAGTAGAAGGATAACTTTCGTTTCAACTCTAAATTCACCCTAAACTAAACTTAGTAAGATAATCAACTCCATTGACTTCAACGCTGAGCTAGGGAGCATAGTCAGGCACTAAAGACAATGGGAGTAAGGAAGGTTACTTAAACCCTGTCCGGATTTAGATCCTATCCACCGAACCTTTTAGGCAAGCTAAATTCCAATGTGGAAGGCGGATATACAGCAGTCAGTTCATATTCAAAAATAGGACGTGCATGTGCAGTGAACAGGAGCCTGTACATATCCGGGAAAAAGCGGTAGAAGAAACATCATATGGCAAAACATCCTGTGGACAGAAGCGACTATCCTCAAGGTATATTCATTTGATGTTCGGTCTGGGGTCCGAACAACGCCAAGGTCGTTCGCACGATTAGAGTTTGGCAGCAAGACTCCACCGGCTGGCTGGCCAAAGAACAGCCAAGTGGTGTTAGCTGGATTTTTGGGGTTAATCCCGGTCCAGCTAGTAGTTCGACGTCAGTGTTTCATGACGTGGTGGGTCTTCGCCTGGCAAGCCGTCTCCATATGAAATGCCAAAAATGTCCGCCTAAGGGCACTGGGATGTAGCGGATATGACTCGCAAACAAATAAAGCCACTGTCTCTTAATGTATAGCAGAAGCTTATCCATTACACAAACAGCAACCACTTCAATGACTTCGTTCGCTCTTTTCCTCTATAAGTGTGTTCATATCCTCGTGGTCATGCTTCGTATGGACGAGAATAAATTGTTACTTATTTAGTTTATTGGTTTGGCATATTCAACAAATAAGCTCACAAATTCTCAGTAACGCCAACAAATGCACCAACCATGATTAGTTGCTTGGTTGACGGCGTCCAGTTTTGGATATACGTGTCACTTTGGTTAGCTTCAGGACGCCTAGGCCTGCGAACACTATCATGGGTGGCCTGCGCTGCACCACTCATAGTTCCACTTATACACTCCATGGCCAGTCTAAACCCGAAGGAATAAGACCGGGAGGCATGTGGATGGGAGCCACGTTTCATCAACGGAGCCGGCCCACACTCCTTCACAGGCAAACACAAACACGCTGTATTTGGGAAGCAAGCACTAAAAAGCGGTGTCTGGACCTAAGCCCGCTCCACACTGATCAAATGGAAGCACACTTCGAGCTTAGCACGACCACAAGTACCGTACACCCCATCCCCTACAGCAATGGCCAACTGTTTCCTGGAGTCAGGATGGACGAAGTAGTGGATTATAGACAGGTGGGCACCTCGTCAACGTGCACCTCAGGCGCAAATACGCCGGGGATATAAAGTAACAGCCAATCAGTTAAAACCAGGATACCAAAAAAATAAATCGAACACTACATCCAAATAAAGAAACCTAACACTTCATTAAATGAGCTATTTTGGACTATTGTGATTACGAACGAATCCACGATAAGTGCACTAAGTCAGCAAATGTATTTTAAGAAAATGCGCAAACGCGAAAAAGTTTGCAAGTTAACTACGATTAGCTTAAGGTAAGTGTGCAAGTTTATCGTAGATATTTCAGGTAGAAACTAATATGAGATAAACAAGCATTACGTCAAAGTTGCAAACTCACCTCCTGAAGTAAAGAGACCCAGCATGCAAGCAAGCGGTTGGTAAATCGAAGGCAGCGTACCTTAACGCGCGACGCCGGTTCTGCCTGCGTTCTCCCCAGAACCCGTCGTCACTTCGGTGGTGGACCCGATTGACTTTGCTCATGGATCACTAGGACTACCTGACTCCGGCACTTGCCACTGAAGGTACCACAGCACCATGCGCTCAATTTCGATGGAGTACAACCCATCGGCGCTTGCCGCTTCCGCAATTACCACTCTTTCTCGGCCTGCAGGAGGGCTTTCTCTTGCTCCTCAGCAACGACCTTGGTAAGCAACACGCGCCATGCACGCCAATTGAGCGCCTTGTACTTATGTGACCCGCGAGCAAGAGTAGAAATTGCGAGGCTCACTTTGATCGTGTCTTGGCAACGTACCTTTGGTTTCCTCACATGCCGCTTCCCAATACTCAGCTGACCACTTAACCTTGGTTTTGTTATCAGCGTCGAATCCATACGGCTGACATGACCAAACCACCTCATTGTCTCAGCAAAATTATGCGGGCCACTGCACACCTTCCTTTTAGAAGCAATCCTTCCGCGTCTGCAACTCTGTTGCACCAATTGATGCGCAGAATCAGTCGCAAACACTGTTGAGGAAACCGCTCGAGTTATCTCACGGATCGCCGGTACGTTGTCCACTTTTCGCCGCAATATAGAAAAAGAGACAACACCATGGATTTGTACACCATGAGCTTCGTGCCAACGGCAAGCTTATGGTGGTACCACACTCCGTACTCTAGCTTCCCGAATGTCGCCGCTGCTTTCGATATGCGAATAGGAAGCTGAATGTGTATCTGCTGGTCAGTCGACAGCACACTCCCAAGGAAGCAGAACCGGAAGGTGGTTTCTAATTCTTAGCACCTTCGCTGGTTTGTGGCAATATTAAAGCTGGCACCTCCGTTGAAGGCTGCAATAAAGAAACAGTCTTGCTTGTGTTGTGGGTGAGCCCGAATTTGGCCGCTGTCGAAGCCAACGCACCAGTCATCTGATGCAACTCCTCCGCGCTGTGTGCATACAAAGCAAATGCGTCAGCCAACCTCAACAAACGGATAGATGTCTCACAGACTAGCGTTCTCGCACCGAAACGACGGATGTTCAGCAACCCACCATCAATATGGCGCTTCATAAGAACGGCGTTAGAAGCAACGGCACGCAAAGAACAAGACCTCATTGGCTGAACGGTGCAAGAAAAATTGCAGGAACTTAGCCACTTCCTGGTTCTACACGATGGATAACTGCTAAGGCATCCAAGGACTGTCCATTCAGCTGCACCCCCACCCGCATACAACGGTGCAGACCTTCAAACAAATTTACAAATTTACTCGGACAACCAAACATACCCGACAACAGCCACAATGCCTCGCGATTCACCGCATCAACTGCCTTGTTGAAGTAAACAAAAAGCGAATACAGCGGCCGGGGTCTTTCCACGCCCTCCTCCTGCGACCGACGAGCCGCAAACACCATATCTATAGTGCTGCTACCCGAAAGGAGCCCGCATTGCTCCTCCGACATGTTACGTGCTGCAACCTGTCTGACGAGGCGGTTGCTCGGGATTCGGACACTCATCCTGCCCACAAAACTCAGCAAGTTGATGCCACGATAGTTCGTACCACATTGCTTCTACCTTTGCACCTTGTACAGTGACAGCACAAACGCGTCCTTCAGCTCTGGAGACACTGCATCCTCAATCCACACGTGTTGCATTAATTGGGGCAACGCAGTCATGAACGCGTGTCCGTCCTGTTTCACTACTTTAGGCGGGAGCTCGCCGGCACCGGTGCACTTTTTCGTTTCTCAGCTGAGCGAGTGCTCTCTGCGTCTTATCCAGTGTAGGTGTGTCCGCCAGACGCGCCTTCACATCCTGCAGCCTCGGGCCGTTCACTGTAGGCCAGCGGCTCTCTGAACGGTTGTGCAAGACACAGTCAAAGTGATGTTGGCAGGTATG